TTTATAGCTTCATTTAACAAAACGACTCAAGCAAAACGGTAGTTCTGGAAACATAGTTGCAAAATGAACGCAACTGATTTAAATTTTGAAAAAATGTTCAAAATTGCAATCGTCTCCATGAAATTAAACCGGTCACATCCATCTATTGCTCGCGACAGACGCTGGAAGTTCCAATTCTCAATTATAATGATGATAACATTCTTCTGTTTTCTCTTCCTTTCGTATTCAATATTCTGCCATGACATCAAATCGGGAAAATTTGCTGAAGCAAGCAAAAATGGAACGATGGTGATCGTGTCTCTAACGATTACTTTAAAGTATATCGTACTCCTGTATCATCAAGAATCTATAAAAGAACTTATAACCATTGTGGAGAGAGACTACGCAGCTGCTCAGGAATTTTGTAATGAGGACAAGGAGATAGTGGTCCAGTATGCTAAAAGAGGTGTAACTGTATGCAAATTTTGGCTCGTGTTCGGTTTCGGTACTAGCGCTATCTTTCCGATAAAAGCTTTTGTACTAATGGGATATTATTACTGGAAAGGGGAGTTTGTTCTTGTTCCTCTTTTTGACCTGACCTACCCACAACCAATAGAGGACTATAAGAACGTTACGATATGTTTCTGGCTATTATTTATATTAACTTTTTCTTTTGATGCGTACGCTTCGTCAATGTATGTTGGGTTTGATCCAATGGTGCCCATATTCATGTTGCATACGTGTGGCCAGCTGGATCTACTCAGTCGACATATCAGTACACTGTTTGTTGATGCAAATATTGAAGAAATAGAAGAAAGATTAAAGAAGATCATTTCAAAACAACAGGATCTTTGCAAGTATGATAACAATAATACTTTTCGATTGTAGAAAAATCATGTTCTTTATAAGAATAATTGTCACAATCTCATTTACAGGTTAGTAGACCGCGTGAAGAAAAACTTTTCCATTTTATATGAATATAACATGAAAGCGACTACGTTTTTATTACCACTAACAACGTTTCAGATAGTCGAAGTGAGTAAATGAATACCAAGTAGTTCTTAATAGTTTCATCTATGAAATACAATATTTTGACTTAGCAAATACCTTGAGAAGTTATTTTCTTATTAACAGATTTGTATCTGGAAATAAACAGCGTTTTTCTGAACATCTAAAGATAAAGAATCTGAGAATACAAGATGAATAATAATACCTACAATAAATCATAATTAATTCTTACAGGATTTACGAGATAAACAGATAAACGTCGAGTTTATTTCATTCTTTGTTGGCTGCATATTACATTTCTTCATGCCCTGTTACTACAGCGATCTGTTAATGGAAACGGTAGGAGATAAAAAAAAAAACCTTTGTAAAACGCACTTTATTTCTTGTTATTTGCTTGTCGGGTCGGGGTATATTATGCTCACCAAAATTGTTATCCGAAAAATTACGTAGCCTGTTCAGTCAGTCGGTACCGCAAAATTTTGACGTAGGCTGCTAGGGGGGGGGGGGGGGGCTCTCATACAACCTTATTTTTGTTTATGCGAAACCTGAAAATAGTATATTTAAATAACTGACTGATGAAATTTTTATAAATAACTATATAAACATTAGTATAAACTAAGCGTACCTACTATATTTAAGACACCGAGATGTCCTATATTTAAGACGCATTCACAATAGAGATGAATTATATGAGAGAACGTCGGACTGTCGCAAAAGGGGTCTTGGGTGCGATGCTATTATTTTTGTTATGATAAAACGGAAATATTAGTTAGTACGGAGTATATTTTGACTCTTGTAATGTCTTGAAACTGTTTTGACGACTACTTCAGTAAATAAAAGGCGTAATCTCAACATATCTCGTTTCAGAGTGAAAAAAATCGTCAAGCAATATACTCATGCGGTTGGGAGAAATGCCCCGATAGACGTATTCGACAGATTATACTGTTCATGATAACAAGGGCCAGGATCCCTTTGGGCATCACCACTGTGTTTTACGAGATTAATCTTAACACCTTCGCTGAGGTAGGTAGCATAATTATCATAATATTTTTAGACATTGTCGTACTAAAATGGGTACATAAGTGTTTAATTACTGTGGCAATCGTTTAGATTTATTATTATAACTTATTACAATAAAATTGGTCACTTAATTTGATAATGTTTAACTAGCGCTAATAGTAGTATTAGGTTGATGAGTTACACGACCAGTTTCAAGCCCTACTAAGGGATCATATTCATGAACAGCATTCGCGCCATAATAATATGACGTGGAGTTGTCTACAAGACTGTTTTTTATTTGTCAATTGACTATCTTATCTTGCATTCTTTCAGATGTGCCGTCAATCCTATGGAATCCTGAACTTGATGAATGCAGCTTGGGGATAACCATTAAAAAATAAAATATTTATTATCAACATTCAAACTTACCATGAGACATTGTTTGATTACTTAGCATATTAATTTAAACAACTCCATACTTCAATGATGGAAGGTCATTGAAAAAGAACAAGGAGCATCTACTTCACAGAGTTTTCGTAATAATTGTTCAAATATGGATTTATATTTACTTACCAACAAATATACTTCGCAAGGAGAAGACTAATGTGATCTTACTTAAATTTTGATTTTGTTTCTTTAAAGAAATGAATGTGGGTCTTAGGAAACTACTTAATTAATCTACATTTTTATTTCAAAGTCTATGTATTTATTAGTATGCTTTTGGTGATAGAACAGGTCTTATATTGAACTTATAGTGTAAGTATACTTGAAAAACTGCTTAATGGGCAGCATAAAAATAATAAATTAGTGTGTTTAAACCGTTAAACAGTGCCTTAATAGGCAGTTTTTTAAGTTATACCGATCCGTTAGTTATACTTAGAGCAACGGCAAAGCTACGACTTAGGTTATTAATAAGTATTGATGTATTCTTTCCAAATAAATCCACAGTCAATAGTTAACCCTAGATTGTTTTTTTTCTTTTTTTCCTACTTCTTAACAACATCACGCCTTTTATCTCCGAAGGGGTAGGCAGAGGTGCATATTATGCCACTGTACAATATAACACCCTCTTTTCCACTATCTATGTTATGAGTCCCATGTAATCGGGGGTGAGCCTATTGCCATTTACCGGGCACAATTCCAGACTCCGTACTTCTACTGAGAATTTTTTGAAAACCCAGTAATACTTTGCCCGACCCGGGAATCGAACCGAGACTCCTTGCCCGGCAGTCGCACTTGCGACTTTCTTGCGACGATACAAAAAAGGTGGACGTAATGTCACTTAGAAATGTTAAGAACACAAAATGTCAGTGGTTTAGTCCTGTGTGTGTGTAATTTATTTATTTATATCAGGATATTACCCAAATTAAAATATTTTGAGTAAATATTTTTAAGGTTCTATTTGACTTTTATTTTTTACTATCTTCTGCCAGCTACTTCGCCCGCGTTTCCGGGTATAAAAAGGTAGCCTATGTATTATTCTGGACCATAATCTCGGTTCTAAATTTCAAGCCGATCCCTTCAGCTGTTTAGATGTGACTGAGTTTTCACAAATTTTCCCATTTATAATAGCGATTTTAGTTAATTTCGATCACCGGCCCTACACTTCCAGCGTAAAGCGTAAAGTTCACTGCGGACAACGTAACATTCAACAAACTTATATTTGCGTTTGGTACAGTATCCTTGTCTAGGGATTGAACTGCACAATTAAGTTTATTTTTCTTGTATATACTTTTTCGAGGTAAAACTACCCAGTGTTGTGCCCAGGATAATAAAGTATAATCCTACCAAGTTTTATCGAAATCAGACCCGTAGTTTTGCGTGATGCACATACAAACAGACAGAAAAAATTTTCACTTTTTATCACATTTTCGGGTTCAGTATCTATCTAGTAACACACCCTTCTATTTTTTTTATATTTTTATGTACAGAATTTACACTATTACAATTTTATTATATGTATAGATGTGCTGTTTTTTACCATGATTATAGGTATTTAACAAGGTTTAATTTAACTTATTCTACCGCGGCACTATATTCAAACAAAGAAGGCAGTTTTGCATTGTTATATTGCCATAGCATTCTATTGTCATGACTAACTATTTTCTTGAACCTAGTTTGTGTTATTAAGAATTTACAGGACAAGGAATCAATAACTAAAGAACCAAATCTATCAACCGTAACAGGACGAAGATCAATTTGGTAAGTGTTGCTGGTATCATTTTGTCAGGCGCTATCTATTTTAAATTGTTACATATTCATATCTAAATGAACATCATACATGATATTTTCGGGTTTCCATTGGTGAAGTAGATAGAATTGGTGGTTATTGTTAAATTAGTTTCCCAATGACAGTTTCCATCACTAAAACTCGTATAGAACGGCACTACAGGATAGAATTCTTTCCTAAATTATATTATGTTATATTCTGACAAAAAGAAACGAAACAATTATCAAAACCAAAATCGTTTATTAAATAATTAATAACTTCTGCTGGTTTTGCAAAAACCTCTGGTTGCCTTTTCATAGAACAATTATGTCTGAACGTCCTTGTGCTTAAGAATTATTTTGCTGTCGTCTGCAAAAAAGACCATAGAAAAGGTAAGTTGTTTTGGAAATTCATTTAGTAGACCAAAAATAACAGCGGTCCCAATACGCCGCCCTGTGGCACGCCAGATGTGACTTAACGTTTTTAGATACATACCTACTTGAGGTTTTTTAACCTCTTTGACACTCTTTTAGCTATCGAATACTGTTTTCTACAGTGCAGATAATTATGATGGTGTAAGTAAAACCAGAACAAATTGATACAGCTTCAAAACGATAAAGCAAAGCCACAAAACAAAACTAAATTGCAGTCCACCATTGTTATACTCGTTGATCTGTTATTACTGTCAATAACACAATTTTGTTTCACAGAGAAATTACTTCAAGTTTCAGAATCCAATTTCAAAAGCTTTTATATAACAAAACGGCATAATCAAGAGAAGTACTTCTGAAGGCACAGTCGCAAAATGGATGCAACGGATTTAATTTTCAAAGAATTGTTTAAAATTAGATACGTGTTCATGAGATTAAACCGATCACATCCGTCTATTGCTCGCGACCGACGCTGGAAGTTCCAATTCTCAATTATAATGATGATAATATTCTCCCATTTCTTCTTTCTTTCGTATCCAGTATTCTATCACGATATCAGATCGGGAAATTTTGCTATAGCATGCTTAAATGCATCGATTACCATTATATGCATAACGGTAACTTTAAAGTATATAATACTCCTATATCATCAAGAATCTATAAAAGAACTTAAAACCGCGATGGAGAGAGACTACGCAGATGCTCAGGAATTTTGTAATGAGGACAAGGAGATAGTGGTCCAGTATGCTAAAAGAGGTGTAACTGTATGCAAATTTTGGCTTGTGTTCGGTTTCGGTTCAAGCACCATCTTTCCGATAAAAGCTATAGTACTAACGGGGTATTATTACTGGAAAGGGGAGTTTGTATATGTTCATATTTTTGACCTGACCTACCCACAACCAATAGAGGACTATAAGAATGTTACAATATGTTTCTGGTTGTTATTTGTATTCAATAATTATTTTGGCTTGTTGGTTTCATCAATGTTTGTTGGCTTTGATCCAATGGTGCCTATATTCATGTTGCATACGTGTGGCCAGCTGGATCTCCTCAGTCGACATATCAGTACACTGTTTGTTGATGCAAATATTGAAGAAATAGAAGAAGGATTAAAGAAGATCATTTCAAAACAACAGGATCTTTGCAAGTATGATAACAATAATACTCTTTATTTGTAAAAATATATGTTCTTCATACGAATGATTATTAGATACATTTCTATCCACAGGTTAGTGGACAGCGTGAACAAAAACTTTTCTATTCTGCATGAATATAATATGAAAGCAACAACTTTTACATTACCGCTGACAACATTTCAGATAGTCGAAGTAAGTTAATGAATACCAAGTAGTTCTTATTAGTTCCATCTATAACATACGTAATTTTGAACCAGCAAATACCTTAAGGCTGGCCCTCCACGAGCTACAAAAGCTAGCAAAATTTGCAAGGTAGCGGTGACAACGCACTACTAATGCGCTACTGCATCGTGACTGTATCAATACAAATAGCAAGCGGCCTTTAAAGAGATTTGTATCTATCAACACACTATGTAGTTTTGCAGATATTAGAACATCTGAGTAGAATACAAGATCAAAAAATTAAGTAGGTACCTATTATCAGTTAACTATAATTAATTATTTCAGGATTTGAGACAGAAACGGATTACCATCATATTTGTTGCAATGTTTGCTGCCGCCATATTACATTTCTTTATGCCGTGTTACTACAGCGATCTTTTAATGGAAAAGGTGAGAGATTAAGTAAAAACGCGGGTTACTCACGTGAATATACTGAGAAAAGCTCTACTAGTTTCGAACCACAGAGGGGTTCTTCCTCATGAGCAGCGTGCGCGGTCGCGGCGACGTCGCGCAGCTCACTGTTCATATGAGTAACCCGCGTTTTTACTTAATTTAGTATGTCTCACTATAGTTATTATAAAAAGGTGAGAGATAATAAACATCACACAATATGCGGAAAATAATTGTGGTTTAGACTGCATATTTTTGTCTATCTACAGGCAACAGTGGAACCACTCTGCTCGCCCTCTTTCACAAAAAGTCATTATTGCAACTCCTTTAGTGACTTAAAGGCATGATGTCCAAATATTTCTTTCCAGAGTGAAAAATTTCGTCAAGCAATATACTCATGCGGTTGGGAGAAATGCCCCGATAGACGTATTCGACAGATAATACTGTTCATGTTAACTAGGACCAGGATCCCTTTGGGCATCACCACTGTGTTTTATGAGATTAGTCTTGATACCTTCGCTGAGGTAGGTAACATGCGTATTTTTAGACATTGTCGTACTAAAGAGGGTCGATAAGCGTGTACTGCACTTGTGGGCAATTGTTAAGATTTTTTGAATTAATACAACAAAATTACGTTCCACGTCTTTTTTATTTCTGTATTACAACTATCGTGACACATTCTAGCTTAATAGTATAATTTATTGGTTTACTCACGTAACTGTTCGAAAATTCAAGTTAACACGACTAGTGTCAAGCCGGGCAGGGGCTCATATCCATGAGCAACATTACGCGACACACGATGTAGTATTGGCTGCACAACGACGAGACGTTTGCTGCACTATTACTCATAAATAAGTTTTATTTATATATAAAAAAAATAATTGTCAATCTTAATTCTAATTTGCTCTCTTTCAGATGTGCCGTCAATCTTACGCAATCCTGAGTTTGATGAATGCAGCTTGGAAATAAAAGTTAATCAATTATGAATATTGATACTAAACTCACCTATTATCTTATTATTAGATATCAATACTTTCACTTTTCTCATAGATATGAATTACAAAGTAATAAACATTAATTTAAACACAACAAAGATAACATCACACTCATTCATTAGCTCTGTACCTGCAATTATTTTAAATTAATTCCTTATCACACGTTTGCTTAATCACATCCATTGTTATAATTGGGTATAAATTCTGTGAATATTCAATTATGTAACGTCATTAAAAAAGGATAATCAATGTCTACTTCACAGGATTTTCGTAATAATTGTTCAAGCATGGATTTTATATTTAATAACAAAATATAACTTATGCAAAATGTAATTTATTTCGTAATGACAAGATTTTATTTTTGAAATTTAATTTATGTTTAATTAAGTAAATAAAAGAATTCTTTAGAATTTAAATAATCACACTTTGATTAATTGATTTTATGACCAACGATCAATGATCATTTTAGTATTTCACCAGCAAATATTTAAGGAATTTGTCCAGTTGTCGTTAAAAAAATGTGACGTCACAATACACAATCTTGTACAACACAAATAGAAAACTGTCGTTTTTGACAGTTCGACAAAAGTTTTGAATTTGACTAATTGGCAAATACCCAATTTCTTTAGTAGAGAAGAAGAAATTTTTTTATAACTGACTAGAAGGAGACTACCATGTTTCTGTCCTTGTCATTTTGAGGCACATTGCAATACAATCAGTACAGCACATTTTCTAGAGAAAAAATCGAGATATAACATGGCTCCACTAACAATTTTTGCAAGGGCAATTTTCAACGTGCTAAAGAGCTGTTAGCTACGTAACAAAAGTTCCAAGTTCCCACATTACAGTCAATGTTTATTCATTAGCATCTGCTAACGTGCCAGTGACATAGTAATTATTTCTCGACGTCGCTAAGGATAATGCCGGCGTAATGAGATTCTGTCGAGGGTGACCGACAAAATAGCCCACAAAGTCTACACGAGGCTAAAACTTCGTCTAAAACTAACACGTAGTTCATTTTCATAAGGTTAAAGTCTAAAAATTCCGGATATCTTTATATATTTAGCTTCGTTTTTGACTTTTCAATATTTTGAGTGGAATTGAGTAATCAATCTTTTCTGTTATACGTAATTTTAATATCAGACTACTGACTATCGGTTCATTTAGAATCTATTAGGTATACCTCAAATCCACTGCTGTCTTAGGCTTCCATTACTACTGTATTCTTAATTCTAATGATTAGAAAAGTTAAAAGTTTTACCTTCTTTTCACACGAATCATATTTCGTGGTGACCCAAAATCGTATTTATGTTTCATAATTGAAATACTTATAGATAATTGCAGCATTGCCATTCAACGTGCCAATGCTGCCAGTCGTCTGGGAACTTTCCTTTTTTTTATAATAACGTTGCCCCATACTAAGCGTTCCTCCTATATCGTGGGTGCGAGTACAAACATACAATTTCACATACACATGACACCCAGACCCGGAACGACAAACTGTCACACAAAGGGTTGTTCCGTGCAAGAATCGAACCCGCGACACGTTGCGCGGCAGTCGGTTGCCCAGCCACCGCGCCAACCGTGCAGTCATCAATTGATTTTTATTTATTTTTTTTATTCACTGTTTTACTTTTAGTTAATTTTAAGTTGTAAATATAGTAGTATATCTATTTATAATTATGTTGTTTAAGTTTTCATACCTTACTTGATAAATTGTGTGACTAAGACTCAACAACTACTCACTCGACGTATTGTCCCCAAGGTTATCTATAGTAAAATGACATTAGACAGATTATATAAAGGGCGTGCGAAACTCGTAAGAGCATTAAACTAGTGATAACAAGGGATAAAAGTTGTAGAAACTGTATACAATAAAATAAAAACAAAAACTGCATTTAAAAAAGTTGAAGGTGATAGGTGAGAAGTCGGTAGGAGAGTATGACCTTTCCAACAAAAAATAATCATCAAAATCCGTCCACAAATGCTGGAGTAATCGGGTAACAAGCACGTAAAGAATACATACAGCCAAATTGTTAAGCTCCTCCTTTTTGGAAAATCGGTTAATAAAATTACAACCATTATACAAAGCATCAAAGTTGAAAATTTCTATAAGGTCGGTTAGAGTTGATTGGCCCGATGACATCTGTACTTTACATCTGCCAAGCACTTATTTTCTGAGTTTATACTAGGGTCAAACTATCGAATGATAGACAATGAACTGATGCCAACTGCCAACTGAATTATCATTTGTCGTTGGCCGAGTGGTCGCAAGTGCGACTGCCGGGCAAGAGGTCTCGGGATATATTCCCGGGTCGGGCAAAATATTACTGGGTTTCAAAAAATCTCAGTATTAGCACGGAGTCTGGAAATGTGCCCGGTATACGGCAATAGGCTCACCCCCTATTACATGGGACTCAACATAGAATAGTGAAAAGTGAGTGTTACATTGTGCAGTGGCATTAAATGCTCTTCTACCTATCCCTTCGGGAATAAAATTCGTGAAGTTATGTTATGTGTTAATAATTATATTTTTGTTGTATTGAGAAGTCTACAGTGTGTTAAGTTAAACGAGGGACTTATTGAGGGAGGGTATTCAGTATTCGATTCTCGTTCCGAATATGTAAAAAACCTATAACCAAAATTTTTGAGGTAATTGTCTAATAAAATACATCATCATCAACACTGAGCGCGCAACAAGTGAACTTGTAAACAGAAACAGTACTTACATAAAGTAACTGGCGTTGCAAATCAAGCGCCGATCTTGCCAAAAAGAATAGAGCGCGCTTAAGCCCGCTAAGCCGAAACCCGTAAGCGTAAGCGGAAGCGTTTTTATGGTTCTGTCGGTTATTTATTAGTGTTTTCGTTTCGTTTATATGTTTGTTAGGTTCATGTGAGTATACACTATTATGGGTTTGAATATGTCCCTCGTTTAACCTAACATACTGTATAAAGCAACAAAATCTTATTTATAAATTGTCCAAACATTCACCTTGTATTATTATGAACGGGATTAAGGAATCCCTATAAGTGAAGAGTTTTGGTGACTCAGTTATCTTCAGCCTTAGCAACACCTAGCCTTCGTAGCAGTATGTTTGAGCTGATAATCTTTGCATCAAGGTCATTCACAAAAAGTCAATTAGGTTGAGAACTACGAAAAGACAATGTCCAAAATGACTTACTTACTTACTATGTAACACCCACTTTTCACTATTTATGTTATGAGTCCCATGTATTAGGGGGTGAGCCTATTGCCATAATTATACCGGGCACATTTCCAGACTCCGCGCTACTACTGAGATTTTTAATCGGGCAAACAGTAATAGTCGGGCAAACAGTAATAGTTTGCCCGACCCGGGAATCGAACTCTCTTGACCAGCAGTCGCACTTGCGTCCACTCGGCCAACGAGGCAGTCAGCGAATTTCATTTTATGAATTACCTATGTGATTTTCTATCATCATCACAGAAGTCATAAGATAACTTTACTGACACAAATATTTTTTTCTTTATCTATGTCCATTGTACTTGAAATATGAATACGTAAGCCACATATGGCTATCGTAAGCCACAAAATATTTGTTATCTTTTCTGAATCAGCAGAACCTGCAATATCTTGGTACTATGTCGATGATACCCAGAGTTTCTCTAACGCTAGAATAAGATTCAGAATATGGACCTATTATTTTGATGTAGATGCAACTTTACCTATAAACCGAGGGAAAATAAGAGTTACTTCTATTGGACGTAAAAAATACTGTTCGTAAAAACTGTTCCAAGAGATTTTCAAAGTGAAGTCACGAGTAAAATCTAGTTTAAACCTTTAAACTTGATTTAGCCTGCTCCGTTGATGTTTCATAGAGTTTTCCAGTTTTATAAATACTCTCTCCAGTATTTTAGTTTTAATCCAATTTTCGTTTCGATAAGTATTTAAAATCCATGGTTTACTGTTGGTTATAGCATCAAATATAATATTTAACTTTGTTTTTTTTTATTAACTGTTATTTATTTTTATAATACTTACTCAGATAGCACGAACTAATCGTCAATTGAGTACCTACTTTCCTTCATCAAAAATAGATTATTTCGACAGTTCAAGTTTCAAGTGTGGGAGTGCCATGCTTCGGCACGAATGGGTCGGCTCGACCGGAGTGATACCACGGCCTCACAGAAAATCGACGTGAAGCAACACTTGCGTTGTGTTTCGTCGTGTGAGTGAGGTTACCGGAGGCCCAATTACCCTCCCATTCCCCAATCTCCCTAATCCCTGAATCCCCAACGATCCTTAAACTCCTAATCCCCAAAAGGCCGGTAACGCACTTGTAACGCCTATGGTGTTCCAGGTGATCCATCTGCTCGTTTACCGGCTTATTCCATAAAAAAAGTTAAATACAATAAAATATTAATAAAATAATCACACTCTTTTATTTTATTTTATTTTATTTATTTAAGGTCAGCCAACGACTGTTTACACGTCATAATTACCTACAATAAATCGGTTTTACAATATGCATTTCCTAGTGTACCAATCAATTAAAGGCTAACACATCATGCATTTTATTATTTTATTTTATAAACAACTAACTCTTTAAGCATTTTTTTTTAGAAATAAGTATGCTGTTTGACGCTATAAAACGTGACGTCACAATACACAAACTCGTACAAAATTCAAAGACAATTGTCGTTTTTGACAGTTCGAAAAAGTATAGACGAAAGAAGTATTTGACTGGTTGGCAAGCACGCAATTCCATTAATCATGTTTTTACCAAATTCTTTTCCTTAATCTTATTATAATTTTAATCTAATCTTTTCAATAGTAATTGATTTTAAAACGGTCATCCTTAAATCTTTCGAACTAACCAACCAGTCGTTAAAATCTTTTTTCTATTGACAGTCTGCTTTCGTGGAAGGTAATAAAACTAACATCACATACGCCACGAACGAAGTACGCGAGTGAAACTACGGCACAGAGCTAGTGCAAACTAGGTAATGTAGTTTCCTTGTTGTAAAATCGTTAAAGGAAAGAACACAACCATTTTAGCAGCGATGGAAATTCCATGTATAGAAAAAAAATCTTTTAGCTTTTTGAAAATATTAAGATCTAGCTTCTGCCCGCAACTACGTACGCGCAATCCCCTTTTGCTATAGTTCCCATAGGATTTTCAGGATTTTTCTGCCTTAAAAACCTACACCTAATAATAACAAATACACCAAAAAAACAATTAGTGACATTGGTCCAGACATTCACGCATGATGCCGTAACCAAGGGAAAAATGGATTCATAACATAACATCACACCTTTTTATCCCCGAAAGGGAGCAAAGGTGCACATTTTACACGTAATGCCACTGTACAATGTAACACCCACTTTTCACTATTTATGTTATAAGTCCCATGTAATAGGGGGTGAGCCTATTGCCATAAACCGGGCACATATCCAGACTCCGTGCTACTACTGAAATTTTTAAGAACCCAATAATACTTTGCCCGACCCGGGAATCGAACCCGAGACCGAATATAAAAATGGGTTCATTTTTATATATATATATATATAGACCAGCAAGTACAGACAGCCAAGTCATTTGGTAAACAGGTGATGAAATAAAAATCAATTCGGCCAGAGCAGAGATAGACATTCTAAATGGTGTGTTTTTTAACGAATAGGGTAGTTTCCTAAATTTTATTTTAATGTCCGTCTGATTGAATTTAAAACATTAGACACGTATTTTTCTTTTCTCACAAAATCCAATTCTTTCGACGATATATTAATTTGAAATATCGTGTGACTCACAGCGTGCTACATTTTGTGACAACCTTCACCCCGCTTCAAGCCATTTTATCTTAAGTATTGCAACATTATACGAGAAAATAAAAAAATATGTGTATAATATTATTTCATTATCTATCTAACTGACAGACTAATTCGATTTTTAATTTTCATACACTGGCAACTACCCTATTGTAGTCGTTGTATTCATTTAGTACCACGCAATGTAACCGCTGTACCTACATCATACAATAAAGATACTCTTTATTTTCTACCTTGCATGCGAAATAATTTGGCTAGCTATACACACTTAAAAATACCTACTTCGTAGTAATAGCCTTTTGCCTTGAACTTAAGAAAACTTCTAAATGATTTTTAGTTCTGCTTGCCTAAGTAGTGAGTTGCTGAAAATAGGAACCTTGACCTATGGCTTATCCAACCTACTATTAGCCGATAAATAGATTTTTCTTTGGATAAGTATAATCTAGTTCACCTTGGCGAAACATTAAGCTGAAAATGTATTTCAAACTCTAAATAAATAGGACTAATATTCAAATATCCAAATACCACTTAATTTTAAGATATTCCTAAAAATATTTATCTAATTACTAGCTACTTTCGCGCAATTTCACCCACTCTTCTCGGCACTTAATGATCGTAGCGTGATGTTGTATAGCGTATAGCTTTCTTCGGTAAATGGACTATCCAACACAAAAATTTATTTTCTCAAATCGAACCAGTAGTTTCTGAGATTAGTGCTTTCAAACAAACTAACAAACAAACTCTTCAACTTTATATAATAGAGATATATATAGATAATAGAGAGATAATAGAGAGATATATAACAGAGATATATATAATAATAATAATGACTTTTGTGTCTCCATTATAATTAGATTAAAGTTGTCTAAAGGGCCTCTGCGCACTGCGGCTTCGGACCCTCATACGCCTCCCAAATGATAATAATGAGATTATAACAAATAATAAAATATAAGATAACTAGTGACCCGCCCCGGCTTCGCACGGGTGCAATATGCATGTATTATACATACAAACCTTCCTTAAGAATCACTCTATCTATTAAAAAAAACCGCATCAAAATCCGTTGCGTAGTTTTAAAGATCTAAGCATACATACGGACATACAGCGAAAGCGACTTTGTTTTATACTATGTATTGAGTTTTATACTATGTATTGATAACAAAAATAGCTGAATATGCAAGTACAACTTGAACTTGATTAGCGTATCATGCGTAACAGTCACATTAGAATGCAAATTCTTTCATAAAAACCCTCTAAAACCACTTAATTTCAGCGGTAAATCTTACAGTTAGATCTTTCATTAGCTTGCAATTAACGCTTACTTTAATGAAGAAGCTCGTTGCTAGAAATGATAGTTACAGTTCACAGATTTTGGTCTTAATTGATATCGATTTGCGATCCGAAGCATCTAGCACTTGAGGATTAGCACATTAGGCGAATCTCAGGCGTAGTGGTGCTTACGTACCTAAGATACTAAACTGAGTGGAAATAGCTAAATTAATTGCAATAGGTGTCGTGTTCCGGCTTCGCAATATGCATGTTTTATACATATAAACCTTCTTTAAGAATCACTCTATCTATTAAAAATACCGCATCAAAATCCGTTCCGATCTAAGCATACATAGGGACAGATAGACGGCGGGTAGCGATTTTGTTTTATACTATGTACTAATTACACACACAGTCTGTACTTAAAAAGAGACGGACCTCTGAGTTTGTTCCAGCACTTCTTCTCAGAGTAGTCAGTTACGAAATGTCGAATATAACTTAACTTTCTTTTTTTTTAAAAATTGGACGCTTATAAGTGATTTTGGCAAATAAAATTGAATTGTTTTACTTTTATCACAGAACATCGGTATATATGGAGGTAAAAAATATATAAAATTGTATGTGTATAATAAAATAGGTACCTACCTTCTTATCCTACAGTGCCAGTAGTTTCGTGAACCGCACTCAAAGCACTAGATACACAATATTATGAAAAATCTTTTTGAAATACTATGATCTAGGTATACAGGGTGACTTGTTACTCGACGTATTCCTCTCGGAATGATGAAAATGTTGAATATCTCAGAAACTAGCCACTTTCGGACCAGAGACCTCAGGGCTAATTTTGTAGAAAATTAGTTTATGTAATTAAAACATTCTGCAGCA